TGCAGCCGGTCAGACTCTCGGGGAGGTTGTAATGAATATTTAAATCGTAGCGAAGCTCTGTCCTTCCTCCGCCTTCCCACGTGTTTTGTGCCTCACACGCATGTCTCGGCGTTGTTCGGGGCGCAGGTGAGCGCAGCCCCGCTGGTCCCGCGTTGGCGCCGGGCGGTGCTGAGGTGGGTCGGTTCCCGGACAGCTGCGCCAGGTCCCGGCACACACACTCGGTGGCCATTCATGCACAGGGACACCGGGAAACGGCAGGATCCAAGAAGTGTCGAAGCGCAGGTCTGTCAAAACATTAATGTAGGTTGCATTGAGGATTGTGTGACGAGAAAGCTGTTCGGTGGGAGTCAGGAAGGTGGAGATAATTCTTGCCTGTGCCTGTGCATTTTGGTTGTGTTGCACCTGCTTGCAACCTGACTTCTGGAAATCCTCTGCTCTGCTTGTCCCATGGCAAGCTCTTTGTGTTGCAGACTGATGTGATAAAGTATCTTTAGGTAATATCGAGGGGTTTTTTTTCCCATTTGTTGGGTGCCTAAAACTTGCTGGCAGGCGATGGGCAGCGGGGCGAGATGCAGAAAGAGCTACTTGCCTGCACAGGAAGCTGTACCTGGGTGTTGTAACGCCAGATGACAGGCTCTTCCTTTCCAAAATACTGGCCTCAGCTGTTACTGTAGGAGGTGGGAGCACTGAGGGCTGTGTCTGATTTTCCCCTCTGGCTCCCTGTGCCCCAGAACAGGGCTGTAGCCTCTGGATCAGAGTTGCGGGCAGCGCTGTCAGCCACGGCAGGGGCTGTGTGCAGGCTGCACGGCTCCTTGTTGCCAGGCCCTTTGCAGAGCAGTTCTTTGTGACTGCTTTTCCTGGTTTGGCTAGCCTGAACATTACTACTACTCGTTCTGCTGCTGAGGCTTGTGCTCCTGTTTGAACAGATTTGGACTTGATGTCTGCCCCCACAGTAATAGGAGACTTAAGGACGTGCTGTTTGCCTTGATAGTTAACTGCTCTGAGTGCTACGAGTGTGTTATCAACTAAGAACATACTTAAAATTGTGATCTAAATGTTAATAGAGAAGAGGGTAAATGTTACACTCTGTCTTGCAGTTCGTATCAGTGCAGTTTGAACGTTACCAGCCTTTTGATAGGTAATTTTTAAGATAAGTTTTAAACACTGGTTAGTTAGTGGGTTTTTTGTTTGTGTGTAAAGCTTAGAAGTAGGCAGGCGCAGTATTTTGGTCAGGGATCTGTACACATTCTTTTTAAACTCTTTTTCCTCTGCTAAGTCTACGCGCTTCTGTGTTCTAACACAGACAACCCTCATGCTGCGTTAGGTACGTTGCTCAGTTCAGTGTTGCACTGAGTAATGCCTCAGAGCTTAGTTTTATTTGCTACTACACAGTGAAATGCTAAAAGAGTAGTAGGGGCTGATATTTTTTTCTTAGTTGGATAGCAGTCACGTTGCGTGTTTTTTGAGAGCTCGGAATTCGAAATAAGAGTTCAGACTGAACTACTGAAAACGCTAATTGCTATAATTGGTTCCTTCTACAAGTCTTCTGGGATAACTAGGAGTTCGAGCTATGATTAAAATGTGGATACATAAGGACAAGATGGTATTTGAAGCTGGTTTGGGAAGTCTCATGTTGGAAACACGTTGCCTCCAGCAATTTAGATTACAGAGCAGCAAGGAAGTGAGGAACTGAGGGTGTTTAATGGCACTAAAATTGAGCAAAATGGCTTTCTGTTATTTGTTTGAAGATGTGGTGAGGATTTTAATGGGTTGTTCTACGTCATGATGGGAGCTTTCTGGAAACATATATGTCCTTTTAAAAGTCAGGTATTTCATCAGAGGATAGGTCTTTCTGTGACATGCTTTCACTATTAAGTTTCCAAAAATACTGGATTGGAAGGAAACAAAAAATAATTGATTTTTAGGTCTGTTAGTGGAGTCCCATGGGATTTAAAAAAATAATCTGATTGTTTGATAAAAAGATAAGTTTTGCTTACATTGGAGTGTTGCTAAAAATGTTCCAAAGTTCTGCCTGTGTAAAGTTGAGCACCCAGCTGTGTTTGTTAATTGATTGGACTTTGCTGTCCAGCACAGGTATCAGCTCTGTTAATCCCTTGGACAAGCAGTTTTTCGAAGTGAGGGGGGAGAACCCACACACTATTTTTAGGAATTTAAATCTGTTGTCTGGCCTGTGTTATTTGGGAATCTCTATTTTAAGAGTTGTGAAAATTGTTAACAAAATTAGCTGAAGGAATAGATGCCAGGTTTGTGTTTTGCTTCTAAAAACCATCTTCCTGCATGCTTGCACTTCCTGAAAAGTAAGATTTGCTGAAAATAAGGTTTGCTTTACTATCTGCCAAGGTGATCTTGCAGGGTGTAGCCTGTACTAATCCTGGAGCTGGAAGCAAGCAGTGAAGAGCAGATTGAGACGGCTGCGTGTGATTTGTGTAGTGCCGGGAAGTGTTTGGACAGTATAATTAACTAGTTCGTACGGCTTCGTACTTGAGCTAACAGGTCCTCCTGGGAGACTTTGAGCAAAGTCTAAGAGAGGTCTCTGAGTTCAGCCTTTCCCTGCGAGGATGTGGTTGTCTACTTTACGCCTCGCTTTATTGACTTAGATCCTGCCTGGGAAGGGATCTTTGCACCATACTTTGGGTGCTAACTGCCCTTGCTAAGACGCGTCTGGGCGTTTGGGTGCTTTACTGTGATCTTGGTGGTCTTGAGGTCAGGTGAGGTTATATTCGTGCGTAGTGCCCCCCTCTCGCCTGGCGATCATACCCCTTTTGCAGTCATGCTTCACCCTGCATTGTTTATATTTTGCAGTTTTGTGGATAGACTGATAAAGCTGGTTGTGTTTTGTGTGTTTGGACAACTGAGCCAATAAAACAGTATGAGGACAACTGGATTTGGGGCAGAACTGCAGATTTCTGCTATTGCTTTCCAGGGAGATTTTAACATGATCTAAATAGTGAATTAATTCGAATAACTAAATGCTTTTGCAAGGCAAGGAGGGAGAGCCTTCAGTGTAATGAAAAACACCGAGACCCTAAATTCAATATTTTCACTGTAAAGTCTGCGGCAGAGCAGTATGATACAGGGTTCACAGCCCAGAAGTTGTTTCTCGAGCTGTGCAGGTCAGTGGCAGTGGGTGGGCCTTTGCCCAGAAGGATGCAGAAGCAGGAGCATCATTTCTGTTCCTGCAAAATCTTTCTGATGTGTACAGTGGTTACTGGCAGTTTGCAGTAAAGCTGTTAAGAGTAAGATTGAGTGTTCTAAAAAATTTGCATGTGGAGTTTCCTGTTTTTAAAAAACTTCAATTGTATGCCAGCCCATTATACATACATGTTTTATGATAACGTGCCTGTGTGCTGGGAGCTTTTCAGATACTCAGTAAGGAACAGTTGGCATTCTAGGGAGCTTCCAAATGAAGGGCAGGTGAGTGTAGGGGAAGAGGAGGTTATTTTCCCTCTGCTCCCTTAGAGATTCCCATTCTGTGTTGGCAGAAATAAGTTGTAAGTGGAGCTGACAGTGGAAGGGGAGAGCAGTGGCAGAAGGGCAGTGCAGGCTGTGCCCCGTGCGCAGGTGGACCTGTGTGCCTGTGCACATCTGGGCACACCTGCCCAGGAAAACACCCTGCTGGGAACAGTTCACTGGCAAAGTACTGTGACACGTTTGAGCCTTTTGGTTGCTGTTTCGTTGCTTTAAATTAGCTTCTAGGCAACTCGCTTCAAGTAAAGCTTTTGTACAATTAATTTCCAAGCCTAAAACTCTTTGCTGTGGGGGAAATAGTTTTTAATAATGCATTTAAGAATTCGTTATGTTAATACAGGTACAGTGAAAGAGTCTGGTGAGAAACATAAGGGATCTGTTGAAATTCCTAACCTGTCAGAAGAAAATGAGGTAGATGGTACAGAGGTAGGTGTGAAATACTGATACGGCTGTATAGGTTCAGAATTCTTAAATAAAGCATTAATCAACATATAGGCATCGTATTCTGATTAATCCTGTGATTAAGTGGGATAATTATGCTTGGGTAGTTTGTTTCATGTTTTGATTTTTTTAATACTTGGAATAATGACTTACCTCTGTTCTCAAATTTACCTGCTAGGAACGCCCACAGTTTTCTTTGCTAATTATTGTTTGCGATGATGTATTAACTACAAATTTGAGAAGAACTCTGCTTGTGGTCTTAAAAAAAACCCAACCCTCAAAACCCCAGAAAAAACTCCCCAACCCCCCTGAAAACCTCAGAATTCAAGGAAGCTCCTTGTTGGTTATATCGCAGTTGATACTGCAGCTTCCACAGATTCCTGAACCTCTGCTGTGTTGTAGGCAACTCTTTATACATGATGAACTTGAATAAGCCACTGTAGAGATGAGCTACTGCTTTTATTTAAGTCAAAACCTAAGAGTACTTATTTTTAGCAAAGGTAGGGTGAACTCAGAAGATAATGAGTTGAAATTGCAGCTGTGCTCTGAACATAGTAAACAAAGCCAGAAAACTTTTTTGTTGCCAGAATCCAAAAGGCTCTTAGATCTTGTAAATTTTTCCTGTTTCTAGATAAACATTAGCAAAAAGAAAGGGGAAGGCGACGTTCTGAAGGACCTTATGAGGACTGAAGGAACCGCAAAAGTCAGAGAGGCCCTGAGAGATTATCTGAACGCACTTAAAACAGGTAAACTAAACCAGTATGTTAGAGACGGTTTTGTGCAGTTTTTTGTTCTTGCATAGATTCGCAATATATTGACTAGTCCTTAGGTTTGTATTGTTTTTATTTTCAGTTGTTACCCGCTAAGATGAAGTGAGTGAGTCCTACTGGTCAAAACGTCTGTTGCTGTCAAACACAGCCACGTGCAGACGTTTCGGTAGCGGCCCAGGCTGTGTTGTCACACAGAGATGGCTGTAAGGCCGGTGGGCTGATGGCTGGTTAGCAAAGCCTGCCCACACCTCCCCGTGTCATTTCTCTGCTGTGCTCTTCAAAAGTTCGTGGAGATGGTGTGTTCCTCAACGGGCAGATGTTACTGATTTTGGGTCAGTTAGACTTTGAAAAGTCTCTATGTTCAGGGAAACTTCTTTTGGGCTCTGTGGCTAATAAAACCCTAGAGGTGTGGTGGGTAAGCTGGTCTGGAGCTGCGTGTCCCATTCTGTGCTCCCATGCTCCACAGTTTTGGCCAGCAATCTTTATTAGGTACCTAAACGTCAGGGTGGTTGTACAGCTCAGTTTCATTCTGAAAAGTGCTTTTCTTTATTACAGAGTTTACCTTGGGAATGATTCTGCCAACAAAAGGTACAGTTGGTCAGGAGTGGTCTGCTGAGCGAAAACTGTGTGGGAACACTGCACAGGTTGGTTTGCTTTAAGTTTTGTACGAGCTCAGCTTCACCACCGATGTAGTCCCTACAGGTTTTGCTGTGGTAACTTGCAAAAGTGAAAGCCTTTGGGGTGGAACTGCCTCCTCATTGCTGTGATCAGGGTCTGTAATGCAGAAATGAGTTGTCCCAGGTCCTGGCCATGGGGGCTGCCAGGTGCGGAGGGGTGGGGAGGAGGGGCAGGTGGCAGCATTTAGCTGCCCCTTAGTGCTTTGTTCTGCAACAGCTGTGGCTGCAGCAAAGGGAATTCACCTGCATGTGTCACTTCCCCCAGTCTGCACTTAACTTTATGGGTCTTTGGTGCAAATTACACACTTCATAGTTTTGGTGTGGTTTTTTTTTTTTTATCTTAGTTTAGTGAATCCTGATTAATAATACTGTTAAATAACTATGGAAGTATGCTGTACAATCACAACACAGTATGTTTAAGAATGCACGGTTAATCATAATCCTGCCATTCCAGAACTTGTTTCAAGTGTTTGATCATGCACTCATTGAAATATTTCTTTTGTTTTGAAGGGTTCAGTTTCACCACAGTCTTTGGATAGAGTTGGAGTAAAAATTCCAACAGTGAGAATAGTGATGAGAGAACTCTTCAACTCCCCAGCAGATGAACTTTACAGCATCTTCACAACTAAGGAAGTAAGTGATACTTTCAGTAGGCAGCATAACTTGGTGTGGATGCTGTTATATCTGAACAGTTGTGTAAGTCATAAATGCGTCACATTAATAGTGTCAACTACAGCCAATACTTAAGTACATTAGTTGGAGAGACGTGACTGAGCAGGACCTGAAGGCTTCATGAGCTGCCTTTCCCTTGTAACTAACTTCATCAAGTATTTGTAAGGCTGAGAATTGTTATTTGCTCTTAAAGTTTTGCTGAACACCTCCACCTTCTAAGCCACTGAGGCATTTCAGTGGTGGAAATGCAAAAGGAGTTCATGGGTGTTGAAGCTGTGTGCCGGTTTGGTCTCCTGCCAAGGAACAAAAGCGAGGGAGCCGACCTCGCTGACCAGTGGCTGTGTTCTGGTGATAGCATGCCAGAAGCTCTACAAGGTGGCGGTGGCATCATTCTGCTTTTCAGTGAGAGCTTATTAGGGTGGCTTGGACCTGTGTTGCCAGGTGGTACCTTAAGGAAAGCCACAGCTAAACAAAGTTGCATCTTCATGTTCTTTGCATGCAGCTTAATCACACTCTCCTTGCCCAGTTAGAAAAAACAGCCCTCAGCTTGTTTATGTAGCTTCTTGTCAATCAGGAGCCTGAAGTGCTCAGTAATGGCACAGCAGCTTACAAATTATTGTACACAGCCACAAGTTGTTATACACAGCTTTGTGTGTGTGTCTATGTCTAAATTCATATATATATATATATAGCATCTATATATGGCATCTATATCTACAGATATATTTCATTTTATAGAGCTCTGTAGATACCAATATACAGATACATATTGTGTATACAGCTATATAAAATGAAGTGTAGCTATAGGTAGGTAGTTAGAGGTTGATACAGACTGATCTCTAGGTAAATAGATACATGGCTAGATATAGATACAGATCTATAGATAGGGCTTTATCTACATAGGTAAATGGATATAGCTAAAGTTCATTTTATGTTTACATATATATTTATATAAAAATGAAATATGTATCTGTGCTGTAAAAAAAAAATAATGAAAAGCCCAATTAGTGCTTAAAGACGCTCAGATGTATTAGTTCAATCTCCTCGGCAAAGCTCCCTTGCCTCACAACGTGGTGCATTACAGTAGTGACGTGTTTGTAACTGACTTGTGCTGTATTTTTTTATTTTATTTTGCTAGTTGGTACAGAAGTTTTCTAAACGTCCTGCTGTGATTGAAGCTGAGAAGGGAGGCAAGCTTCAGATGTTTGATGGCTGCGTCAGCGGTGAATACATGGAATTGGTAAAATAAAAACCCCACCTACTTTGCACTTTCAACAGTTGAGCAGTGGGCATTGGCTTCTTCTCAGAGCTAAAAAGTCCTGTAAGTTTCTGACATTTCAGGTTCTGAGGCATCTGCAGTTCCTCCATTTTGAAGCCAGAAAAATTGCTGTCATATTGTGTGGTGTTTTCTTCCCCATCAGAAGAGCAGGCACTGACTACACCTCATGACCTGCCCTGGGGGTGAAAACTCCCAGCACCAGCCTTTTTCACTAGAGAAGTGAGACAAGCAGGTTTACAGTTTATCTCCCAAATCTGTAGCAACTCTTGTGGCAGGAGAAATGATCTTTGATCCATTCGGGGCAGCTCTTGCACTCTCCCTGACTTTTGCAGGGTAGACAACATGACTCTTGTTGGTGCCCATCTGCAAGAAAACTAGTGTTCTGTGTTCAGAACCTGATGAGCTTGACCTTTTCCCATAGAGAAAACAAAACAATGGAATGCAGCTAGTTGAGAGCTTCATGAAAATAGTTTATTTAAAAAAAAACCAAACCCAAACCCATGTTTCTACAGTTTACACGCACGTGGCTACTATTCCACAAGATAATGCTCCACTCCTTGTTTTTCAGGGGAGAATTAGCATTGGTTGAATTAACTATCTGAAACACTAACAAGGTAAACTTCTTTATCTTATTACAGGTCCCAGGAGAAAGAATTGTCCTCAAGTGGCGGTGTAGAAGCTGGCCTGATGGTGAGTCTTTTTGAGGACCTCTGACAACCAGAGGCTGCGCTCGGCAGGGAGCAGGAGCAGACGCGACAGGTGACGGCCTTGCTAGCTGGAAGCACGGTCAGTCTGCGTTCCTGGGGGAACAGCTTGTGGCCACCTGGGAAAAGAGGCCTTGCAACACACAGGCGAAAGCAGATAGGAAATTAGCAACAACAAATGTAATCCTTTTACTATGTCCTTTTATTTTTTTTCCCCTTCAGAATGTTTTTTTAATTGAAATGTCTTATTTTCTTCCTTCAGAACATTATGCAGTGGTTGACTTGAATTTCAAGGACATGGCTACTCAAACAGAACTGCAGTTGGAGTGTAAAGGAGTTCCTGTCCCTAATGAAGACAGTACCAGACAATGTTGGCAGAAGCAGTACTTTGAAGAAATACATTTTTTACTGCGGCAATCCAAAGACAACATGGAATGATAACAGCACTGTAGCTGTGTTAGGGCATTACTTTTTATACTTTGTTAACATTTGTTTTTTTAAAAAAAGTAATTTATTTGTGGGAAGAATAAAAGACCCACTTCTATGATACTGTATATAATTTAAGCATTATTTATGGATTTCTGGTGAATGAGGCAGTAAGTCTGAATATCTATATAACCAGCTTTACTTGGGGAAGCTTGCCTGCAGCTTCAGGGAGTAGTAACAGTTCAGCTGCAGTGAAGTACTGCCATCGTTGGTAGGTAAGCTGTGTGAATCCATCGGAAGAAGTGGTTGCTGTTCTTTAATATTCAGTGTATCGAGTGGCAAAATTAAATCCCTCTCGGAGCCAGGGTTCCCCTCAGAGGTGAACTGAAAGGGATTGTAAAACTGGTGATGGGTCATGTGTCTCAACATATGTGGGGGATATAATTTACAGCGTCTTTAAATACTTCTTAGGATTGCTTTAACTGCAGACTGAATCTGTTTCTAACTCTGTAGACAGTTTTAGGGACAGATCCTTAATATCTTGCAATTCTGGTTGGTACGACAGTTACCACTATTAAGTCTGCATGCACTGTACTCCCCTACTTGACCTCAGTTTTGGAAGAAACAAACAGTAATAACGCTTTCCTTTTGCAGGTCTGTAAACCTTCAAGTTAAATGATTTATAGCCCTCTGCAATGCTGTAGCTCAAATTGAAGCGAGCAACTGCTTGTAAGAGAAATTAGAAGTGAAGCTGGGATATTAAAAGTAAAAAAAATTGTTACTCTTAATTAAATCACACGGAGGTTTGCAAGAGTAACTTAATTCTCAAATGCTTTATAAAAAGTGTATGAATTAAGAAACAAACTGACCAAAAAAGGGCAGGGTGTCTTTGGAAAATGTGGTTGCCTCAATAAAATGTGATTTGACATGCAGTTTATTTTCTCCATTAAGCAATACTGCCAAACTAAATGGGTCTGTATACAAGTTAAGTCCTCTGTATTTTATTTTTACAGGATGCCAACACATGGCAACCTGACCACATAAACCTTTATCATCCAGAAGACAAAGATGAGCTGCTCTTATCTGTAGGCAAGGCTTTCCCTGAAAAGCTGGGATTCAGTTATCCCCTCTGAGCTTAGGTGCTTTGTTGCAGTAACAGGAACCAGCACCTCCCAGTGACAGGACAGACACACGGACTGGTTCCTTCACAACGCTCGCGTTTAGGTGTCTAGCTAGAGGGTAGAGAACAGTCTTTTAAGAAGTGTCACTGTTCAGCATTTTTTTCTGAATGCTAAAAATTTAGTTACCTTTTCTGATAAATATTCAAGGACAAAGAGTCTAGCATTTCAAATGTAAAAATGATTTTTAGAGTATTATATAGGTTGATGAAGGGGCAACCTTTACATAAACATGGGAAGTTCTAGTTTGAGCAATTTTGTGTGTGGACCATCTAAGAGATTTTGTGACAATTTAGTAGAGAGCAGGCTGTAACATCCAGTTATAGGTTTCTTCAAAGTGTATCCTACAGCCCTAGTACTGCTCTGGGCAGTGTGCCTCACCTGTTTTCCCTCCTGACTACAAAACCCTTCCATCTTAGGTGACAAGTGCCCACACTCCTTGTATTTTTTGCTAGTCTGAGTTTTCTTGTCTCCTTCCACTAGCAGGAGTAACTCACAGCACCAGTTGCCACTGTTAAAAAAAGAAGAGACTTACCTGTGCTGCAGCTCGTGCCTCCAGGTGTGGGACTGCCATGACCCCCAGAAAACTCTGCAGCTGCTGCTGGGAGGTCCTAGCCTGTGCCAGGAGAAGCAGCTCCAGCCCTCTGTTCCTCTAAGGACAGGGCAGTGGACGGAAGGTGACAAGTCATCTGTAGTGGTGCTCTTGTTCCCTCGTGCCTGCACAGCTGTAAGTTTGATAAGAAAGCCTCTACTCACTATTAAGGTAAAAAGGGTAGCACCTACCTTTTCATCCTTGTTTTAGGCCAGCCTAGCATAAGAAATGGGCAGACAGCTTTCCTGCCCACAAAGAGCTCCTGACTGACTGTCGTTACCGATAAAAAAAGGCCTTTTTTTCCTTTTGGTTCACCACATTCCTGCACTCTTCCATCCTCACTGTGTACATGCAGGAACTTGGCCGACATTAGTATTGCCGTGCTGACCTCAAAGTTCTTCCGTAGTTACTCTGGAATTGAGAAAAATCAAGAGAAGTTCATTTCACCTGTAGCAGGGAACCTTTCGGAGGATTTCTAGCCCTGTTGGCCAGCCATAACAAAACAACTGATTCTTGAGGTCTACAATGTCTCATAGATACACCAAGAGTTTAATAAAACCAAAGAATGTTAAACTACTTGTCCTCAGCCCTTGAGCTGGATGGAGCAGAGTCACGAATCACACGTCATTTAGTAACAGCATGATAATGGCAGGATAGTATCATACGTAATGGAATTATGGTATAAATCTAAAAACCCCCTGAATACCAGGGAAAAAATCCCCTGTAAAAACTGCACAAATACTCAGAAGGGGAAATTGGAAGGTAAGGTAAGGGAAGAGCAGTAAGATAACTATACTGCTAGTGATCTTGACACACTTCTTGAGCAACAGAAAACCTACTATTAAATTCAGTCAGTTTAGAACTACAGGATGATAATTTAATTAGAACTAAGAACATGGGGTTTCATACTTCGTCAGATTTGATCTGGCCTTCTGAAGAGGTTGCAAAGTTAACTGCCGGCCTAACATAACTTACACGTGCAATGCGGGGCTTAGTGTCTGCAGGGGTTCTAAATGGCCTGTTACGTATTTGGGAGAAAACAATAGGCAATAAAATACAAAATGACCACTAACAGCATCTGCCAAT